CGAGCACTCATACGTCGTCCAGTCGTCCCACTGTCGAGACCCAAACCCGGCACTTCGATGAGCGCACTCTCGTCAGAGGGGTTCTCGAAGGTGCTCCTCCTCGTCATCCTCGCACTACTCCTCCCCATGCTACTACTCATCCCACTTTCTTGTTCAAACGCTCCACTGGTACTAGCGAAACCTGTCTCGCTGGTAGCGTTCATCCCAGGACCCCCACTTGCCCCCAACACTTCTACAATCTCCAACAACGGCGTACTCTGTCTACTGAGTTTACCCCCCGGACGTCGCTTGCTTCCTTTTTTGCCGAGAGAACCAGGTGGAGCGGGACTAGACCGTCGCGACCCAGTGGGCGTGTTCGAGTTTGTTCTACCCCTCATAGACCCCGGCGACCCACCCAGCCCACCAAACGCAGCACCCTCTGCAGTCGGCGTATCAACACCACCAGGTGTGAGAACGGGCGTCATGGCGCGGGGTGTATCATAGACGGACGGCGGCGTCACACCTCCACCGAACGGGTGGCGAATCCTATATAGCATCCTTTTGGCAACATTGTCTGAGGTGGCAGCACCGTTTGTGCGGGGTGCACCTTGTGACCGCTTGCGCTCATAGCTCTCGCGGTACCGTTCGTACCCCTCTCGGAATGATGGGTGTACGCGGGAGGAAAAGATGAGTTCGCCGCGTGGGTTGGTGGATGGGGGGATTGGTGGGATGACTTCGGTGTGGTCTTGTCCGTATTCGTAGGGAGAGGAGGGAGTGGCGTTTCGGAGTGGAGAAGGAGATGGGGAGAGGGAGCGTGTACGTAACCGTCTTATCGGTATTGAAGGGGTGACGGGTTGGGATGGGGGAGGTGGTTGAGAGGAAAAGAGAGAAGAAAGTCCAATAGTAGATGCCATGCGGGAAAGTCGAGATGGGAGAGGCTGCGTTCGGACGTTCAAGTACATGTTGAAGGATCGTAAGGCCTTGTTCGCATGAGGTACGTATCTATAACACGTTAGTGTGAGTGAAGAGAATGGGTGTTTCGAACTCACTTGTTTGCGTATCCGACTCTCTCTGAGTACATACCACTGGCAAAGAATAGGAATAGCGTCATACCGAGGATAAATAACGCGCCCGTCTTGACATATGGATGAAGACGTAGGTAGGGAACGTCTTCTAAGGATACATTTGGCTTCTGATAGGTGTAATAATAC